TCCTTCCTTCCTTCCTTCCTTCCTTCCTTCCTTCCTTCCTTCCTTCTCTGTAAACCGCTTAGAGAGGGCTGTAAAGCACTATGAAGTGGTATATACGTCTAAGTGCTATTGCTATCTAAGAAGGGAAAATCCAGTTTACCTTCTGGCTTTGAAGCTTTCGTATTCACTATGCCCCGTGCATTGGATTCAAAGACTATATTATCCTGTTTTCAAACCTCAAGGTTTCCTACTAAACCTGATCACAAGACTGGATTTATTCCAACAGCTCATGTGTTGCGAAAATAATTGTGAGCAGTTGAGGTCTTTAGCCTAGTGTCCTCAAACTTGGTAACTTTAAAATGCATGCAATTCTGAGACAGTTCAAATTCTGTGGATAGGAGTCAAAGCACTAGCACAGGCAGTCCTCAACTTACAACCATAATAGAGCCCAACATTTCTGTTGATAGGCGAGACATTTGTGGAGTGAGTTTTGCCCCGTTTTACGACCTTTCTTGCCACAGCTGTTAAATGCGTCACTGCAGTTGTTAAGTTAGTAACCTGGCTCTTAAGTGAATCTGCTTTGCCCATTGACTTTGCTTGTCAGAAGGTCACAAAAGGGGATTGCACGACCCTGGTCATAAATATGAACCTGTTACCAAGCATCTGAATTTTGATCACATGGCCATGGGAGATGCTGCAGTGGTCAGAAGTGTGAACAATGGTCCTTTTTTCAGTGCCATCATAACTTTGAATGGTCACTGAACAAACTTGTAAGTTGAGGATTTCCTGTCTAAGACTCACAGGTAGCTGTATTGTTTTTTTAATTACCAATAACCAAACTGTTTCCTATTTGCCTTTCTTTTACCACCTCCTGAATGGGCAGTTTATGTCATGCGTCCATGGGTGTGTGAATGTCACATGGGTAGTTCCACTTACTAGTTTCTTAACAGTGGTGGGCAGTTTCTCATCCAGTACAGGCCTGGGTGGCTCAGTTTCACTCAGTGCAAACTTCATGGTGATGGTGACCGGCCGGAGGTAATCTGAGGTGTCCTGCAGGGGAGAAAAAAAACCTGAGACTTTTTGGAAAACTAACACTGGCCCTGAAATTCCTAGGATGCTTCCTTCCCCTTCAAAATGGATGGAAATGTACTTCAGTTTTTTCTCTGGAAAGTGTGTGATGACCCAGGGTGGGATACAAAACGAACACAGTCACAGAAAACAGGTGAAGCCCCTTTTATTCCTACACTTTGCTTCCAAGCTCCGAATATTCTTGATGGAAGACAAAAAACTCCCACACAAACAGTTACAAGAAGGAGGGAAAAAGCAACACAAACCAGGCAAGATAAGGGCTGGAGAGCATCCACAAATAACAGAGCACACACCAGGAAGGACGCCAAACTCAGAGAGGAACCATAAACTAGAGATATTTCCATGCTTTGTTTCCAGTGTTCGCCCATATGCAGGTCCATTATTCCTCTTATTCAGTTGTCTCAGCTGCAGCCCATGAAGAGGATCAAGGCCCTCTCCTTCCGAGTAGACCATGTCTCTCCCTTATCCTCTCCTCCCTGCATGCCCTAGAATGGATAGGGGATGGGCCTGGTTCTTCCTCTGACTGCCCAGCCGCCCTCTGCACAACCTCCGGAGCCCACTTCCACTCCCTGTGGGCTGTTCCTCCTCTCCCTCGGAGCCAGTCTCCATCAGGGGCATGACAAAGTGTTTTCCAAGCATGATGGTGTGAGTGATTTTTCTCACGCTCATTCCACCATTCTGGACCAGTGTGTCAGCAGCTTTAAGATATGTGGACCTCAGCTCCTTGGATTCAGCTTTCAGATGTATAGACTGCTTCTGGGAGTTCATAAATCTTAAAGTTGCCAAGAGAATTGGACTAAAATGACGTATAAGTTTGCAACAGTGGTTTGCAACAGTGGCAAAAATCCGTAGCTCGGGTGTAGGATGAGGGTGGAAATTCATTCTCTGAGCTTGTGTTTTGGTTTCCAAATGTTTCATTACCAGGCTAGTTAACACCTTCAGCGGAATTTAGGGGATGTCAGTGTTGGTGTTCTTCTACTTCACGTGGTCAGTAGGTCTTGTGATGGGAGGGTCACATCAGGTGATGGTCAGGTGAGGTGAGGGTCTTGGGACAGATCTTGTGATGAGGCAGATGTGAGTCGCATCAAGTGAGGGTCTTGTGATGGCTCAATTGTGGATCATGTCAAATGAGGATCTAGTGATGGGTCATCAAGTGAGGATCATTGGGAGGTGAAGTGCTGGTTTTGGGGGTGTTGCTTGGGTTGTGTCAACTCATAAAATATGTCTATGGTCTTTGTAGAGTTGCCAACAGAAAGGGAGGGGGCAAAGGGGTTTGAAAGAGCAGTGCGGCAGCTTGGAAATCGAAAATGCATTCCATACATAGTTTTTCAAAGATAGTAATTAGTAACATAGTTGAGAGTTGGGGCCATCTCTGTGGTTGGCTTAAATTCTGAGGAGGTCATAGGCTGGTTGTAAGTCAATGTGCCTGCTGGTCAAATTGATTGCGGAGTGCCAGTCTTCAATGAACTTATGTGTGTGGCAGGTGGTAGTGTGGCTGTATTGTATTGCTCCAATTGAATCGGTGTTGTTCGGTATCAGTGTGGGTAGAGAAATGTTTGGAAATCAACTCACAAGCTTGGAGAGAGAACCACCACTCTCATGACCTATAAGTTCTTTCCAATTACATGTTTCTGCTCTGGTTCGCTGGCAGCAGGTGTGGACGGCTGAGGTCTCGGAGAGCGAGGACTCGGATGAAGGACCTGCGTGTGATGCAGGGATGGGGCCAGGACCATCAGGGAGTGAAATGCGGCCTTTGGAGATTGTGGAGGCTGGCAGCAGTGAGGAAGAGGCCCCCCGAGGAGCCTGTGCCCAGTGTTCGTGCGCGCAGGGCTGCTCAAAGGAAAGAGCAGCTGCAGTAGCACAGGTGACTCGGGAATAAGACTGCAAGGTAATGTCCCCTCCCTTAAGTGATAAAAGCCAGCTGAGAAACCTGAGTTCTTTGCGGGAAGCAAAGAAGTTTTTGCACTCAAGCCTGGTGGACATTTGGAATATCTTGGTTGGTGTTTGGAGACTCTTTTTGTTTGAAATATTTCTTAGTAACATTATCTAGTGTTCTTGACAGCCTTGCACCACCTTGGCAAGGCTCATTCTTATCAGAGACCATTAGTTTGAAACAGCCTTTTAGCCGTGAAGGAATGGAATTTGTAAAGAATCATTAAAAGGTTTTGCTGTTACCTCTGTTTCGTGTTTGTTTCCTTGGAACAAGGTTTGGGTTAGAACAGTTTCTTCAGCTAAGGAAGAAATTCCTTTCATTCGAAAGAAAGCAATCAGAAGCCAGATGGATACAGCAGACGCATATGCTATGTTCACAGCCCCTCTTCAGCCAACCAACCAGACAGTTTGAATCAGTTAGGTCCCAAGGGTCAGGGATGAAACCCATGCCACACTCACAAGGACGTGGAAGCGAGCTGTTGAGCACGCCGTCCTGCCCACGGTGGCCCGAGTCCTCTTCTGAAGCAGCTTTTGGGAGCTGCTATCAAAGACGGCTCTTGTGCCAAACTTCCTGTCGTCCAGAGAGATGTTGTATTTTATACCTAGGATCAAGTGATAAGAGAGAGGAGAGTTTCTTTAGGTTGGATGGGTCCCGGTGGGCCAGACATAGCCGCTGAAGTCCTTTTTGCAGCCTGTCCAGAAATTGCACAATCGAAACACTGCTTAAAAAAAAAGATTATTTTTTTTCTGCCATTCCTCTCCATCACTCCCTTGGCCTGGTGCCCCAAAGCTGCCCAACCTTGGTTCAAGTGATTTAACCGAGGTGGACAGTAAGAGAAACTTCTGGTGTGGGAGACACTTACTCAAGTGGCTATCCCGGGGGCCCAGAGAGCGCGAAGACACATTAAAACAGAAGTTGGCTGTCATGCAGAGAGATTCCTTCCCATTTCTCTGGCAGTTTTTCTGGATGACATTGATGGAAGGAGGGTTGACTGAGATGGATGCATTGATCTGCACAATTCTCCTGGATCTGATTCATTGCCAACAAATATAATTGGTTAATTACATGAGGCATTCAGTATATAGTCCCTTTATCATAGCTTTCTGGTATTACATCTAACAAAAATATTTCTGGCTTTAAATTTGCATGCTGCTTAATCAAGCTTTTCCAACCACATGTGTATTTTTGCTCACTATTTTCTTGCCTTCATACATGTCCACCACATATGATAGTAGGTACCTGGCATCTGGTTACACTTCCAACTTTTGGCGGACATATTTTTAAGCATCTTTGCTAGTCTTGCTGGTGGCAGATGCTACCTATAAAACATTTTGTCTAGGTTTTCCTTATTTGTGGTAGTAGCCATTGTCAGTTTGTAATTTCTTTCCCAACGTTTTTGCCATTTATCTAATTCTATAGCATTGCCAAAGTTTTTTGCCCATAATATCATTGTTTCTTTTACTTGTTCATCTTCCATTTTAAAACTTAGTAGGAAACTACATAGTTTCCTTATCAATTTTTCATCTGTCCCTAATAGTATATTTCAATATTTTATTTCTCTAGTTTTACACTGCAGGAAAACCACACATAAATGTGGCAAAATGTGAGTTGGTTGTGAAGCATCCAAATGTAAATCACTTGACCATGGAGATGCTGCACCGGTCATAAGTTTAAAAAATGGTCATAAGTCACTTTTTTCATTGCTGTTGTAATTTTAAACAGTCACTAAACAAACTGTCGTAAGTTGAGGATTGCCTGTATTTTAATTTTTGTGACCCACACTTCATTTTGTCTCCTTTTTGGCATCCCTTTTTTAATGATTCTATTCCACCACTTGCTCGATATCAGGGTAACCCTTGTTCCATGGCAATTCTGCCAGGCGCCAGCATTCCCCCCCCCCCCCCGCCCCGAATGGGGTCCACCTTCCCTGGTCCTCCTTCCAGCCCCTCACCTTAAGACCACTGCAGCATCCTGAGCCCCCACAGCCAGATCCACCAGGCCGTCCCCATCCATGTCGATCTGGCCATCCAAGCTGCGGCCGAAATAGCGAAGGCCCAAGCGAAGGGCTGCGGATTCGATGCGCTGCCAGGGAAGAAAGCAACCATTTTGGGGGAACAGACTTAGCCACGCGTGGCTGCCTTTTTTTTAGCCTGCATTTCCAAAACTGAGGACTTTGGGGGTCCTAGGCAGGCCCCCCCCCCCCCCCCCCGGGTATGCTTAGAGACATAATATCAACCATCCCATTGGCATATGCATCAAAAGAAACTCCTGGGACATTATTTAATTTTATTTATTTGTTTGTTCATTTACAGACCCCTCACATCCCGGACATAAACTGTTTCAACTCCTACCCTCAAAATGACGCTATAGAGCCCTGCACACCAGAACAACTAGACACAAGGACAGTTTTTCCCCGAATGCCATCACTCTGCTAAACAAATAATTCCCTCAACACTGTTCAACTATTTGCTAAGTCTGCACTACTATTACTATTAACCTTCTCACCACTCCTTATCATCCATCCCTTCCCACTTGTGATTGTAGGACTGTAACTTTGTCGCTGGTATCCTTATGATTTATATTGACTGTTTCCTAGTATGATTTGATTGCTGATTGTACCCTATGACTATCATTTATTGTTGTAAGTTATGATTCTTGATTCTTAACGAATGTATCTTTTCTTTTATGTATACTGAGAGTATTTACACCAAGACAAATTCCTTGTGTGTCCAATCACACTTGGCCAATAAAGAATTCTATTCTCAAGTATTCTATTCTATTGTTTTGTTTGTTTGTCAAGCATGTATGAGAAAACAAGTATAAGTATGAACAAAACATATAAACATTTAAGCATACAGGTATGAGTATATACATGAGTAAGAATAAATGGATAAATGGGAACCATAGGAGGCACGCTGGTGTGCTTATGCACACCCCTTACAGACCTCTTAGGAATGGAGTGAGGAGGTCCATGTTACCGAGCGTCTGGATTTTGATCATGTGACCATGGGGATGCTGCAAAGTTTGTGAAAATGGGTCATCAGTCACATTTTTCAGTGCCGTTGTAACTTTGAACGGCCACGAAACGAACTGTTGTAAGTGGAGGACTACCTGTACTATATAAAGCTGTGATGGCAAACCTATGGCATGCATGCCACAGGTGGCATGTAGAGTCATTGGTGCAGGCATACAAGCCCCAGCCAAGCTTACCTGCACTGCACATGTGCACACCTCCCGGCTGATTTTCGGCCTGTTTGAGGCCTTTTTTGGCCTCCCAGAGGCTTGAAGGAAGCCTCTGCAGCCTTTGGAGGCCAAAAAACAGGCCTGTTTCGTCACTTCTGGTGTTCTGGAAATTCCGGAAGTGATGAAACGACCCCATTTTTCAGCCTCCAAAGGCTGCAGAAACTTTCCTTGAGCCTCTGAGAAGCCGAAAAAGACCTTAAACGGGCCAAAAACCAGCTGGGAGCCATGCGCATGCGCAGTGCAGGTAAGGGGGCGTTGGGAGGATCGCACGCGCATGCGCAGGGGGCGTGCCCCCCCCCTGTATACATTGCTTTCTGGGTGCTGGCACCACCTGGTATAGAGCTATGGGCATTGAATTCACTCAGTTCAACCAGGCTTTTGTAGCTCCATGGCACTGAATTAAAAATCATATTAAAGGAAAAGCAGAAGTGGAAAGTGGGCAATGCTGGCGCTCACTCACCTGTTTGAAGCGGGGTAATACAGTTGTCCGGTAGCCGTGGTACAAGTAGACTGCCCCCTGGTGGTTGTCTTCCAAGGGGGCACCCACAACTACATCATTAAAGCTGTCGTGATTAAGATCCGGAACAGCCAGCATGACGTAGCCAAAGCGGGCGTCCTGAGGTCTGGGGTCAGGAAAGAGGGTCCCATTGAAAGTCAGGAGTGACTTCAAAAGAGAAGGAGGGAAGGAGGGAGAGAGAGAGACGCTTATTAAAAGCAAAGAGATTCCTTTCGTAATGTCTGCATCCACTCACATCAGGAAAAGAATTGTTCTTGCATTGCCAGACAGATGTTGAGATTGGTTGGATTAACAGAGTTGGAAGAGACCTTGTAGGTTATCTAGTCCAACCCCCTGCCCAAGCAGGGGACCCTACACCGTGCACAACCACAAAATGGGGTGGGGGATCTCACTTTGTGCAGTAGTTTCTCCATATGTTTTATTTTTTACTTATTTTAAAATTTTATATGGCCACCCAACTCACTCCGGGTGTCTGGAGATTCTCAATCCTCCAGGTCCTGGTTGTCCCAAAGGTGATTTTTTTTCAAGAGGCAACTGGACTTTCTGGTTTTTCTTTGAAGAGGTTTCGCTTCTCATCCCAGAAGCTTCTTCAGCTCTGACTTCAGCTCTGACTCTCCCCGCCATCCAGTCAAAGCTGAAGAAGCTTCTGGGATGAGAAGCGAAACATTTTCAAAGAACAGTCAGATTTAATAGATAATCAGAGTTGGAAGGGACCTTGTAGGTCATCTAGTCCAACCCCCCCACCCAAGCAGGAGACCCTGCACCATTTCTGACAGGTAGCAATCCAGTCTTGAAAGCCTTCAGGGATGAAGCTCCCACGACTTCTGAAGGCAACTTCTGTTCCATTAGTTGATTGCTCTCACTGTCAGAAAATTTTGCCTTATTTCCAGGTTGAATCTCTCCTTGGTCAGTTTCCATCCATTGTTCCTTGTCTGGCCTTCAGGTGCCTTGGAGAATACCTTGACCCCCTCCTCCTCTCTGGGGCAGCCCCTCAAATATTGGAAGGTTGCTCTCCTGTCTCCCCTGGTTCTTCTCTTCACTAGAGTAGCCAGGCCCAGTTCCTGCAACCATTCATTGTATGTTTGAGCCTCCAATCCCCTCATCATCCTAGTTGCTCTTCTCTGCACTCTTTCCGGAGTCTCAACGTCTTTTTTATAGTGTGGTGACCAAAACTGGATGCAGTACTCTAGGTGTGGTCTTACTAAGGCTTTATAGAGTGGTATTAGTACCTCCCTTGATCTTGATTGTATCCCTCTGTGAATGCAGCTTAGGATTGCATTAGCTTTTTTGGTTGCTGCTGCACACGGCTGGCTCATATTTAGCTGGTTGTCTGCTAACTAGAAAAACCAGAAAGCCTAGTTGCCTCTTGAAAAAAGCACCTTAGAGTGACTCGGGGTGTCTTACAGAAATAAAAACCCAACACGAACTCCGATAAAGCCCTCAGCAGCACTCACCTGCCCAACCCTGTAAAGGTAAACAGACCCGATCTCTTTGTTCTGCGGGCCCAGGTACATGGGGGCAGCCACCAGCAAGACATCGGTGACGCCATCCCCATTCACATCCACAGGACAAACTTCACTGCCAAAGTAGGATCCGATCTGCACGAGACGATGAAGACTGTGTCAAACCCTGGCAGATTCACACAGGGTTGTTGTTGTTTTTTGCCACAGTTAAATTAATAACACGGTCATTAAGTGAATCTGGCTTCCCCACTGACTTCACTCGTTGGGAGGTCGCAAAAAGAGATCACACGACCCAGGGACACTGCGACCGTCATAAATATGAAATAGTTGTCAAATATCTGAATGTAAGTCACGTGACTACAGGGATGCTACAACCGTCGTAAGTATGAAAGATGGTTATGTCACTTTGTTCAATGCCGTTGTTACTAAGCAAACTATTGTAAGACGAGGACTAGTTGTACTCAGCAGCCAGAAAATGAGACACATCTATATATATAAAAACGAAATGCCACTCATGCATCATCACAAAATCTCCAGAACCGTAAAGCCTACAAACTTGAAATTTGGCACGTAGGTTCCTCTTAGCTTCTAGGTGCTCACCAAGAAGGGATTTTTCAAAATGACCATCAGAGCATTAGTATTTCCTATATTATTATTATTATTAACACGCTCTGATGCTAAGGAGTTCTACTCCCCCTCCCCACCTGGAAAGAAATCTCTTCCAAATGCCAAACACAAGCAGAGAAGAGGAGTTTCAGTTTCAATTTCACAGCACCAAGCAGCTTTAGGACAGAACAGTTGAGCTAAGCCACGCCCAGGCTCCTTGCTGTCTCCTCCTTGCTCACACAGCAAATACTGCTTCAGTTTCCAAACAGCCCTCAACTCTCTCACACACTGACAGGACACTAGCCAGATGAATACCGATGGATGCTGGCAGAATTCCCACCCCCCTTATTTTCATCCCCCAAAACTAAGATGGCCCCAAAGAAACCCCACACTCACAGGGCTCCTTTAGCCCCTCCTGCTTCTGTTACAAATGGCTTCTACTAAAAAGGCGGCGATGAATGACATTTGCATTTTGCCTTACTTGGTCTCCTGTCAGGGCCTGAGAGATGGACACGCCGCCCTTTCCATCCATCTCAAAGAGGATAACTTTCCCCTTGTGCTGGAAACGGGGGGCGCTGGCCAGGTAGAGCCTTCGGCCACTCCGGAGTCTGATTGAAGAGACGGTGTAGCCTGAGAAAGGGAAAGAAAATGACAAAATTCAGAAATTCTGGGCTCTCCCCATCCGGGACAGAATATCAAACCATAGAGACCTTGTAGGTTTTCTAGTCCAGGGGTCCCCAAACCATGGGCTGCAGCCCACTACCAGAGCCATGCAAGTGGTGGACGAGTGTGCAGGCAAGTGCAACACCATTTGCACAAGCACAGCTCACACAAATACACTCAAGCACCTGCCGCTCAGATGGACCCCCTCTCCCCACCCCACTGGCCCGAAAAAAATGGGGACCACTGTTCTAGCCCAATCCCCTGCTCAAGCAAGAGATCCTATACTGTCCCAGACAAATGGCTGTGTCTTCTGAAAAATCCTCCAGTGTTGAAGCACCCACAACTTCTGGTGGCAAGCTGTTCCACTGATTAATTGTTCTCATTGCTAGAAAATTTCTCCTTAATTCTAGGCTGGATCTCTCTTGAACAAGCTTTCACCCGTTATTTCTTGTTCCTGCCCTCAGATGCTTTGGAGAAGGGTCCCCCAATCATCTTTATAGCTCTTCTCTGCACTCTTTCTAGAGTTTCAACGTCTTCTTTGTATCATTGTGGCCAAGATTGGATGCAGTGTTTCCAAGTACGGATTTACTCAGGCATTATGAAGTGGTACTAGCACTTCTCGTGATGTTCGCTTGGTGATTAGGGTAGCTAACTTAGCACAAGTCTTTAAACTAGGAGTTATAAAAACATTTTGAACTGTCTGGAATGTAAAACACTATGTTTTAAGTGAAATTACTCCCAAGATGATTGAAAAAGACCATTTTAAATTCAAAATAGCTATTCTCCACTTGGAACAATAACTTCAAAGTCAAAGTGCATTCAGCTTGGTTCAGATTCAAAATGTTTTTCACAGCACTTTCTTAAACCTTCCAATAAATTAAGAGACTCTGCTCATGAGGGAAACAAAGTTAAGAACATGTGGTACCTGGATGAAATTGAGAATTATAGCCTAATAAAGATTGAGTATACCAACTCTCTTTATATGTCTTACTGATTTTAGGTATTATAATAATAATTCCTTTCTGTGAGAGGGAGATTTTAAGCATAGTTTGAATGAAACCATAATAGACGCATAGTATTTTCCTTGTGTAGAAATGACCACGAAACACCCCCCCCCCCCCACCCCCCGCATTTCTTTATTTAAAAAGCCCTGGCAATATCTGCTGAAAAAGATATTGGATTCTTTTATTACCTTTCAGACTGGAAGAGTGGTTACGAGCTTGGATGGCTTTATAAAAGGAATACTGGAATGCACCTGGAATATTGCATCAAGTTTTGGTCATAAAAAAAGAGGTTGGGACTCTAGAAAGAGGGCAGAGAAGAGCAACCAGGATGGTGAGGGGACTGGAGGCTAAAACATACGATGAACGGTTGCAGGAACTGGGCCTGGCTGGTCTAGTGAAGAGAAGGACCAGTGGAGACAGGAGAGCAGCCTTCCAATATTTGAGGGGCTGCCCCAGAGAAAAGGAGGGGGTCAAGCTATTCTCCAAGGCACCTGAAGGCCAGACAAGAACAATGGATGGAAACTGAATGAGAGATTCAACCTGGAAATAAGGAGGAATTTTCTGACCAAAAGGGACAGAAGTTGTCTTTGGATGTTGTGGGAGCTTCATCACTGGAGGCTTTCAAGAAGAGACTGGACTGCCACCAGTCAGAAATGGTGGTTGGTCTCCTGTTTGGGCAGTGGGTTGGACTAGAAGACCTACAAGGCCTCTTCCAGCTCTATTCTGATTAATTGAAAGACAATCCCAGAGCTCTGTAAGGCATGGTGGAGAAATGAAGCTCCCAGGTGCTGGGGCAGTCTACCTTCTCTGGGAAAACTACTGAAGAGCATTCTTCAACTCCTTCTCAGAGATAGGATCGATCACTGTTAGAAACAGAAGGCTAGGTTAGCTCACACCTTTGCCCTTTCCTTCTGCCGTTTTCCTTACCCAAATAGGCCGCGTGGTTATTCAGCTTTCGCGGGAACTCTCTTGCAAAAGCTTCCCGTGGGGGGATGACCCGTCCCGATTGGCCCTCCTTGAGCACGGCCCCATCCCAGTCGTAGGCTCCTACCATCCCAAAGAGGATTCCGTCCTGCCAGGAGAGAAGCAGCGACAATAGCAACAGCATTTAGACTTTACAATGCTTTCCAGCCCTCTCTAAGCGGTTTACAGAGTCAGCCTCTTGCCCCCCAACAATCTGGGTCCTCATTTAACCGACCTAGGAAGGACAGAAGGCTGAGTCAACCTCGAGCCAGTTAAGATCAAACTCCTGGACTGTGGGAAGAGTTTGCTTGCAATTCTGCATTCTAACAGGAAGGAAGGAAGGAAAATAGCAATAGCACTCAGACTTATATACCACTTCACAGTGCATTTACAGCCCTCTCTAAGCGGTTTACAAAGTCAGCCTCTTGCCCCCAACAATCTGGGTCCTCATTTTACCCACCTCAGAAGGCCGGAAGGCCAAGTCAACCCTGAGCCTGGTGAGAATCAAACTGCCAAATTGCAGGCAGCAGAAGTAGCCTGCAGTACTGCGCTCTAACCACTGCGCCACCACTGGACACCACAGCCGTCCAGACATCCAACATACTCAAAGCGAAGGGCAACCCAAAGGCTGCCTGCCTTCCAGATTGTAAGCCGCATGGAGTCCTCTGTGTGCGAGTCGGGCGGCTGTATAAATTTGCTTTACTTAAAGTTTATATAAATAATAACAATAGCACTTAGATGTATATACCGCTTCACCTTTGGAAACGAGAGAAGCCCGACTGGTCTCTTACCTCCAGCAGGTGGGTGGAGAAGCCAACCTGAGACATTTCCAGCTCAAAAGAGTTATACTCACGGGTCCCTATTTAAAAAAAAACAACCATGTATTTTTGAAACCAAAAAATAAAAATAAATACTATTAAAAAAATGGGGGGGGGGGTGTTAAATAAATCTCACCTTCTTGATACCAACATATTACTGGAGGCCAGTTTTATCAGAAAAGAGGGATAAATAGCTTTTCTTTAGAAAAGAAGACTTTGGGTATTGCCGTGACAGTTGTGTGTGCCCAAGTCCGTGTTTGGTGAAAAGTTGAGGATCTTTGACCTTGGGAGGGGTAGCACTTTCCCCTTCAGGGCTGGTCCATCATTTTTTTTTTTGGCGTGGGGGGGAAGGAGGTTTCCTAGATTTGTAGCTCCTGCTTGACGAGCAGGTGACACTGTGACCAGGAAGGCTTTTGACACCCCATCTGGAGCCATTGGTGGTGCCCTTCCCTAGACTGAGGGAAGTGGGCTTCAGACAGTCACTCACGCCCGTGATCACTTCACAGCTTGACTACTGCAAGGTTTTTTACATGGGCCTGCCCTGAAGGCCACCCGGAACAGTGGTGGGATTCAAATTTTTTTACTACCGGTTCTGTGGGTTGTGGCTTGGTGGGCGTGGCATGGGAAGGTTACTGCAAAACCCCATTCCCTCCCCACCTCCTAACCTGCTTTCCAGCTCCATTCTCCTGTGCAGGGAAATCAAAGGAGACCCAGCCAATCAGCTGGGATTCAATGGGAGGCGGAGAATGGATGGGGGCGGAGCCAGTCAGAGGCGGGATTGGCCACTTCTCCAAACTACTCAAAATTTCCGCTACCGGTTCTCCAGAACTGGTCAGAACCTGCTGAATACCACCTCTGACCCAGAAGCTTCACCTGGTCTAGGATGTCATGCAACCATGACATACCGCCTCTTCTTCGCAAGGTGCGCTGTATGATGCAATCACCTGGCCATAGAAGGGGGGGCAGCAGCCATTGGAACTTTGAATCTAGGTCATCAGTACTACTTTTGGGAGGAGTCAGTCAGCACAGTCGCTAAGCTGCCAGTCATAACTTGAGTACTAGAGTTACATTACATGATATTCGGAAAAAGGACTAGGGGTGACATGATAGCAGTGTTCCAATATCTAAGGGGCTGCCCCAAAGAAGACAGGAAGTCAAGTTATTCTCCAAAGCACCCGAAGGCAGGACAAGAAACAATGGATGGAAATTCATCAAAGAGAGAAGCAACCTGGAATTAAGGAAGAATGTCCTGACGGTGAGAACAGTTAATTGGTGGAACAGCTTGCCACCAGAAGTTGCGGGTGCTCCATCACTGGAGGTTTTTAAGAAGAGGCTGGACAGTCATAGGTCCGGAATGGTAGAGGGTCTCCTGGTTGAGCTGGGGGTTGGACTAGAAAACCTCTAAGGTTCTTCTCTTTTTTCTTTTTTTCTTCTTCTCTTCTCTTCTCTTCTCTTCTCCTCCCCTTCCCTTCCATTCTATTCCCTTCCCTTCCATTATTCTATTCCAGTTCCAGTTCCAGTTCCGTTCCATTCCAAGTTCTATTTCTATTTCTATTTGTATTTCTATTATTTCTAGTTCTGTTTCTATTATTTCTATTTCTATTTCTATTATTTCTATTTCTATTTCTAGTTCTATTATTTCTAGTTCTATTTCTATTATTTCTAGTTCTATTTCTATTATTTCTAGTTCTATTTCTATTATTTCTATTTCCATTATTTCTATTTCTATTTCTATTTCTATTCTATTCTTCAACCAGAATTAGTAGAATTGCAACTGTGCTACACTGACATATATCCCAGCAACGGTTACTTACCCTAACAGAATAACCAAGTTGGAAGGGACCTTAGAGGTCTTCTAGTCCAACCCTCTGCTCAGGCAGGAGACCTTATCCTATTTCATACAAATGGGTTCCGTTCCCCCCCCCCAGTTGCTAACACCGCATCCTTTCCCAGCACCTTCAAGGCTGAAGATCCGATCTCCTAAAGAGTCCACAATATCGTTGAGGGCTGCCTCATCTGTGACATTGAAGAAGTACTTTTCGTCGGGATCACTGGCAATGTATTTAATTTCGTTGATGAACGAGTTGGGGTCTTTCTTCCGGCGGATGTAGTGGCCCAAGACCTGGGGAGGGGGAACAGAGACATCATTTCAGGACTTCTGATGGCAAAACACCATGACATTATGACACCCGAAGGCAAGGCAAGAAGAAACAACGGAACTGAGGAAAGAAGCAACCTAGAATTAAGGTGACATATCCTAACGGTTGGAACAATTAACCAGGGGTGGGATGCAAATATTTTTACTACCGGTTCTGTGGGAGTGGCTAGGTGGGCGTATCTTCTTTTTGCAGCACCCCCAATGCTCCATTTTTGGGCTTTCTGGGCCTCAGGGAAGCCTCCTGGGGGGGGGGGGGGCTCATCCCCCTTTTTCCTGGGGCTCAGGGCAAAGCAATAAGACAGTGAGAGGGATCCCGACACAGCTGGTCATCGGAACAGCTGATCGTTGGGAGGAGAAAAGGAAGAAAGAAAGAAATACCAGTTCGGTGGAACCAGTAGCTGTTTTTTTTACTACCAGTTTGGCCGAACGGTAGCATTTTTTACTACCAGTTTGGCCGAACGGTAGCATTTTTTACTACCAGTTTGGCCGAACGGTAGCATTTTTTACTACCAGTTTGGCCGAACGGTAGCTGAACCGTTAGAATACCTCCACTGAGTTTGTCTCTAGAAGTTGTGGGTGCTCCATCACGGGAGGTTTTCAAGAAGAGACTGGATAGCCACCTGTCTGAAATGGTGTGGGGTCTCCTGCTTGAGCAGGGGGTGGACTAGAACAGGGTTGGACTAGAAGACCCCAAAGATCCCTTCCAGCTCTATTCTGATTGATTGATTGATTGATTGCTTGATTGATGCTGCCCAAGAGAAGCCAGGCACATGGATTTCTTCCCCAAGGGTATGACCAGCGCATTTCCCAAGCCCCCAAATGCTCTCAGGATCAGTCAAGGATACCTCACAGATAAGCAAACCAAAGGGATGGACGACCAATTCATCTGGATTGATTGAGAGGGAAGTACAATTATGAAGTTATATGCCCAGCTGGTGGCAGAACCTGGCTGATTTCAAACAGCTAACAAGGAAAGTGTCTCCTGCTTGCGGGGGGGGGGGGGGGGGGTAAGACCTCTGAGGCCCCTTCCAACTCTTGCTATCCTGTGTGATTGGGCCTGCTCAGTCTTCAAAAGTCCACCAGGAAATCCAGGATTGTAGGTTGGACTGGGAAATAAATAAGGAACGCCCCTCTCCACGCCAAGATCTCATTTTTATTTATTCTTGTGCAACCCCGGCTCGAGTTGGAACCCAGAATTATTCTTCTGGCGATGCTTTTTCTCTTTCTTTTAATTTTTAAAAATGCTAACACAGATACTTTCTGCATGATGCATTCTTCCAGATCCAAGATACCTGATGTCGAAGTTAACAAAAGAAAGTTGCGCTCAGATTGCTGGCTAAAATAAACTACAAGGGGGATTTACAACTATATGGGAACTTTCTCCCCCTTGCTCGTGTACAGAGAGGCACCCCCACCCTGTGTGTTTGTCCCTCCATCTGCTGGCACACTTACTGCGATGGCGTAACGCGTCACATTCCGTTTCTCACACTCTTCCAAGGCGTCTTCAAGTTCTTCCCCATCGTGGGACTCCCCGTCGGTGAGCACGATCATCAGCTTGGTAGCGCCTTCTCTGCCCCCTCTTTCCGGACTGAAGGCCTCCGTGCTGCAGGCAGAAGCCAGAAAAGAAACCGAGACTTTGGGAAAAAGTTCTTCTCCCTGGCAAGGCAATGTGCCCCGATCCTGGACTAGAGAATACTAGACAACACAGTGTCGACAGTAGAGACCTTCAAGTTTCTAGGTTCTATCATATCTCAAGACTTAAAATGGACACCTAACATCAAAAACGTCACCAAAAAAGCACAACAAATAATTTTTTTTCTGTGCCAACTCAGGAAGCTCAAACTGCCCAAGGAGCTGCTGATCCAGTTCTACAGAGGAATTATTGAGTCTATCATCTGCACCTCTGTAACTGCCTGGGTTGGTTCTGCAACCCAGCAGGACGGACCCAGACTTCAGAGGATAATTAGGACTGCAGAAAAAACAATTACTACCAACCTGCCTTCCATGGAGGACCTGTATATTGCGCGAGTCAAAAAGAGGGCTGTGAAAATATCTACAGACCCGTCACATCCCAGACATAAGCAGTTTCAACTCTTTCCCTCAAAATGACACTGTAGAGCAGCAGAACAACTAGACACAAGGACAGTTTCTCCCCAAACGCCATCCCCTCTGCTAAACAAATAATTCCTGTCCAACTATTTACAAAGTCTGCATTACTATTATTCTTCTCATCCTTCATATTACCTATCTCTTCTCACTTATGACTATAACCGTGTTGCTTGTAACTTTACAATTTATATTGTTTTGTTTCCTAGTATGTTTTAATTGCTTATTAGTAACCTATGACTATCACTAAGTGTTGTATCTTATGATTCTTGATGAATGTATATT